GGTTCTGAACCCCTTATGACTTGGTTACTTCATTTGGGCTTAGTCCCCTTTCTTGTACCAAACAAGGGGCAAGTGACGATAGTGAGCCTGTTTGGTTGGGTTTTTTTTTTGTTACTGTTTGGTTGGGTTTATTTGGAGTGAAAAGTACTTTTTTTTGCTTTTTTTTTTGGACCAGCAAGTAGCTTATTTTTACTACAAGCCCGATTGCAAGATGATCACCCGTTTGGTTGGGCTTAACTTCAAAAGTAGCTTATCTGTTTTAAGCTGTTAGACTAGCGTTGGGGGAGAGAAGCTGCATTTTGTAGCTTATTTTGGAGCTTATTCTACTTTTCACTGTTGCACATGTGTCATTTTTTTTTCCCCTCTGACTTTAGTTGTATTAACACATTTCCTCAGTTTTGTTTCACTTCCTCAGTTTTTTTTTCACCTCATACTCTCATACCTCTCCACATCCTCCGTTATTTTTTTTTTCATTTTTTTTTTTTCATATTTCACATTATATTTAGATTACTCCTCCAGTCCTAAATATAAGACCCATTTTTATAGTGCATAAAAGTGGTCTTATATTTAGGATTGGAGAAATTTTTTTATGATTTCTCTAAAGTTTTAAAATTTAATTCACTCATTAAATTTGACTTCTTCATATTAAATTATTTTAATTTCATTGTATTATGTGAAATTATTTTTTTAATCATGTTTCATTATTTATTAAAACTCATACTCATTTTGGTCATTTTACAACCAAATTTACTTTTACTCAATTATAATCTAAACAATCTTTTATCGATCTCACTTTTACAAACTAGCTTTTCTGAACTCTAATTTAAATACAATTCAGCTTATCCAATTTAGCTTTTACTCAACTTCACTTCTTCATAAACTACTTTTTCAATCACTAATCCAAACAGACCCAGTATAGCTTATTATAATGATTTTAATAATAGGGAAATTTCAGTCAAAAAGAACTGTACCAATAGAATGGCTGCCGTGAAGAATAATTTACAAAACCAATCTAAAAATAGATAAATTCTTTAAAGTATGATCAATTATAAGATCAGTGTTTTATTTTTTTAAGTATCATTGGCAAAAACAGGCCATAGTTCTAGTATTTACCAGGCTATTTGTCACTATAACTAATGCATATTAGGATTCTAATATGAAATATAAAAAAGTCTTTAAAACTTTGAATTATATATATATATTTAAGAATAACTAATATGCAGTTCTTTATAATTTCAACTAATTTTTAATTCAAGGCCCAAAATTTTTTTAATTATGTTTTTATAGGTTTTTTTGTAAGGCCCTTATACTTTCACTTATTTTTATTTAGGTCACTGTAGATTTTTTTTTATTAAGTTCTTGTAGTTTTATTTATTTTTTTTTTTACATCTCTAAAGCTTTTTATTATTTATTTTATAAATTATAATTATATTCTTTTATAATAACTTAATTTTAATATTTTAAAAAAATTTGAATCAAACTTATATTTATATTTATTTTATAATCACAATTTTTATTTATTTTTATATTTATAAAATTTGGATTATAATAATAAAATTTTCTAACACCACAACTGAAGTTAATTTATAATTAATTATTCAAATTAATTATTAATTATTTAACTAATTTTATAATTATATAAAAATTTATTTAAATTTATTATTAATATTTTTATACTTTACTATTATTTAATTAATTAATTTTATTTAAATTAAAAAATATAGCGGCTTGATAAAAATCAAGTCAAATGGTAAGGATCTGATAAAAATAAAAACAAAAACATGAATTTAAATGAAAACAAGTAAAAGTATAAAAACCCGATAAAAAGAAGAACAATTTGATTAAAGATTGGTTGCAAATTAATTATTCTTGTATATATATTACAACTTTCTTTCCTCCCCATTTTTTTTAACAAAAGGAGTCGTAATTTTTAAACTTGATAATAAACACTATTCAATTTGTTAATTGATGAGTTATTTCCTTCTTCTAAATTTACTTAACAATGATATATCAAATAATGATTAGTTAGGACTTATAAATATATTTATACTACTTCCAGCCTTTAATATAAGAGTTATAGCTAGATATATATATAATTCACAGATATTGAGAAATTATTTAAATTAATTATTTATGATAAATAAATGTTATTTTTTATAACTATCATTATCAATAATATGCATTAAAATTACCTTTTTATGAAAATTTTTAACATGTACAATCACTGTAAGGATTAGTTGAAAGTAAAATGAATAAATATTAAAAATAAAGTAGATTGATTTATTATATTTATGATCAAATTAAATTTTCATCTTATATCAAAAATCAGGTAGGATCTCTTTTCTTCATATTCTTCCTCTTCCCTCTTTCACCTTCCTCCTTCCGCATCACATGTGACCTAAACCCTCCATTTAATAGCCTCGGATTCTTGTCTCTTCCTTCTCCAATCCGTTATTATCATGCTTCCATTCTACGATTTCTTTTTTTGCACCTTGGTTAATTATGAGATGCGTTGGAAACATTTATTTGGTACATTGATGATACACCACAAATTTTAGATCTTTTTTGAGCCCCCAGTAGTGGTGGTGTATAATTATAGAAACAACTGTAATTTCTGGAAGCTTATTTGCCTTTTATGATTAAACTAGACTAGATATTTCAGCTAGATCAGATGAAAAGAAACACTTGATTTACTTTAAGTAAGATCGAAGGCTGGATGGAAAAGTGTGCATGCGAAGGGCTACTTAAATTTTGGCGGCAATGTTCCAAATTTCAAATGGTTATATAAAATATAACTCCAGCGGGGAGGTCCCCTATCTGTCACACAATCACATAGCTTAAAGTCTTTATATATGTGTGTGTATATTGGTAATATCTCTAAAGGTTTATACAAACTTTGATCCTTCAAACATGCTTTCATTTTGATTTTGGTTCCTCAAGTTTTTATTTATTTATAACATTAGTCTTTATAATCCAGTCAAAATTTGAACCATTTTATCTCTTGAGAGACCAAAACTTATAGTTTAAAACTTAAGGAGCCAAAACCAAAATAAGAGCAAATTTGAAGGAACAAAGATATATTAACCATATATATAATTACTAAAAGATTCTAATAACCAAAAGATATCACACAAAACTGCTACAAAAATACACAATAATTGACAGTTAGTTTGGGTAATATTTGACAGTTAAAAACGTCAAGTATATCTACGTCATATATTTAGATGACTAATATTTGACGGTTATTAATCTTCAAATATTTTGATAATATTTGACGGTTCTTCAGTTAAAACCCTCAAATATTTGGTAATATTTGACGGTTTTTCTTAAAACTATCAAGTATTGTAGGAAATTTTTTTCAATACAAGTACTGCTTTGCCAGCACCCCGTACAATTATGAAGCTTCATACAAAGCAATATTATTCGACAAAACCAGGCTAATATTCAAACTGATAATTCAGCTACATGAATGTAATTAACCACAAGTATCAGGTAGAAATTTACATGATATACATATTAATTAATAACAAACCAAATTTCATATTAAATGAATTTGTGTTAAGACAAGTAAAAATTCTGGACAAATACAAAAGCAAAGCAAAAATGAACCAAAACCAAATTTGGCCAATTGCCAAAAATCACAACAAAGTTGTTAAATGCCAAAAACTAACAATAATATATTGAAACCAAAGTTGTCTTCTACTTTCCTATCTATTTTGCATAATATAATGCAAATTTCAGTATAAAAAATAGCAACTGCTTATAAAAATACTACTCCTCTGATCTTAAATATAAAACTTATTTTGTAATGTAATTTATATTATAAAATGAATATTATATTTAGAAGAAGAGAAGTAACATCTTTTGAAGAAGATTTTCCCTCCCTCCTTTGAATCAAATTTCCCATTTTCCAAATTTCAGAGATAGACGGATCCACTATATATGTAATTATTATTCCTAAAAACGTGCCCTTTTCCTTTCCCTTTTCCTTTTCCTTTGTTTCAGCAGCCTAATGATCATAACATGTTACCCTCCTGTGTATGCTTGTTTGATATTATGAAATGAAATGAAATGGCCAATAAATAAATCTGAGAACAATAAGATTAAAATATACATAATATCCCATCAAGTTTACGGCGGTACTACGTACAAGTGAAAGAGTCGGTAATTATTTAGTGAAAGAAGCATAGGATGATAGGATATTACTCCTTCGGTTGATTATTAATAGGATATTTTTAACGGCTTTAAAGATGAATGCAATTTGTTTTATGTCCCTAAAATGTTTTGGTCTTTTGAAGTATACCTTAGCAGGGCTTAAATAAATTTTTAATTTGTCAGGAGTATTTTCGGAATAAGCACATTAATTATTAGCAATATTCCACAAAATACCTTATAAATTAAGATATAAAATTTTCATAATATTTCTTATAATAGCAAACATGAAGAATTTTTGCATACAACTTAGAGGAGACTATAATTTAGCTATCCATGCAAACTAACACTGGATTCGAGGTTAATTCTCCACCTGGGGATGAAATACAGACTACTTAGTTGTTATTACCTCTGATCTTTATCTTAATATAAAATCTAGTTAATTAATTTAGATATTTAAAAAAATTACTAAATTACTTAATTATGTTATATGATTTTTCTAAAATACTTATATGTATTATTAGATTATATATCAATTCATAAACGGGACAAATTAGTTTGGAAAAAAATGACAAACATATATTTTAAAGTAATTTAATAACTTTCTTAATTTGTTTCAAATTGGTCAACTAGATGTAGTATTATTGAAAGAAAGTAACTAAGATAGTCAAAGAAGAAAGAAAATACCAGAAGTGAAGAAAAGAAAAGAAAGAACGAAAATAATGTGAAGACAAGAATAAGAGGGGAGGCAGGTAAATCAGTAAATGGGATGGTGGGAAAGTGAAGATAGCAAAAGGCGTAGTTAGTTAGGGATTGTGTGGGATTTATTGCTGTTAATAGCAAAATACCGCAAGCAAAGGCCAATTCGGTAGCTGCACCAACCTAATTTTTGATGCCCCATCGCGTCCCCATCAAACCCATAGGCTGCTAAGCCCCACGTTGTTAGCTCTTACCACGTGTTTACCCTAATTGAGAAATTTGTTTTTATTCTAAATATAATACTCGTATCTCAATTATTTTTTTCCTCAGAATATTTATGTTGACTATATATTAAAATATGTTTCTTTCAATAAAAATAATTATAGATATATTTTAAGAGAATTAATATATGTTTGTTATAAATAATTTATTTAGTAATTTTATTAATTATTAATATATGTTTACCTCCTGATTTTAGGGTTGAAGGGAGTATAAAATTTGACTCTAAATAAATAAGATGCAATTTTTTCTAATTAGATTAATTATTTCTTCTGATAATGCTCCTATTTATTAGGGCATTTTTATCTCTATATATTAATTTTCAATGTTTGAATGTGGGAAAGATTTTGAACAAGCATCTCAATTCTTTAAGTATTTATTACAAATAATTATATTGAATATTTTTCTAATTGTAACAACTCACTAAAAGAATTTTTACTCCAGCAAGTACCTATATATATATATATATATATATATAAACAACTATCATTTTTACTTCGTCTTTGTTTATAAAAAACATTTGTAAAATGTTTTAAGTTTTTTTGGTTAGTTTCCATTTTGTCCCCATTTATCACTTGTTTTTAATAATAATTAATATATTTATTATCTTATTTTCAAAGCATCTTTCTCTTTATTTTAATAATTTTTTTATTTTTCTCTTATATTCTTTCTTTATCATAAATAAAGATATCGTTAAGAAATTTTTTTATAATTTGACATATTTATTAGTTTTAATCAGTTTTAACTAGCTTATCAAATTTTTTTTTATAGATACGGAGGGAGGGAGAGCATAACATGAACATTTCTCACGCTGCGCGTTGTATCGGTCACTTTGAACTTGTCTATTCACGCTAAATTCTTCATGAAATTACGAATTTTTCTTTGCGACGCAATTTAGAATTTTGGCCCTGTTAGAGTTCTTTTGGGTTAACATTAAAAAATAGAATTTAAATTGCATAAGACAGATATTTAATTCACATTAGAAATTCTTAAATTATTCACAGAATGAAGCATCAAAATCGGCATTTTAAATTAAAATATGGATATTTGAAGTATTCCAAATAAAGTATTCGATGCGTATTTTTTTTTCCATCTAGAATCTTTTTTTTTTTTGGACCAGCCTTTCATTCTAGAATTCAAATCATATTGTAATTGTTTGATGATTATTATAGGGGCACGTGGCCAAACACCACTCTGGTACAAGAGAAGATAGACATTAATGAGATTCAATTATTCCCTTCGATTTAGCATCTGTCCCCAGTCCTCACCACCCAATTCTTTATGGATTTATTCCACTCATTATCCCCTCCTTTTTCATTATTCTTTCTCCATTTCTATACCTTTTTGGCCCCAAAAACCATAGAAATTGTATTTTCTTTTATAATTAATATAATTCTTTAAATTTCAAATAATCGATTTGATTTTTAAACAGCAAAATTATCTTTATAGCTTAAACACATGTTAAGAAACAGGAGTCTTATCTCTCTATAATTAATATTGGCAGGAATTTAAAAGCTCAAACCCAACCCTAAATTGAATCTATTTATCATTGATTTAGGAGATGTTTGAAATTACGTTTAAAAATATTTATAAGAACGTCTCACGTAATCCTTTTATGATTTGATATAGTGTTCTTTGGATAATTTTAATAAAACATTCTATCCATTTGAGTTAATGAAAATTAAAAAATCATTCTCAATAAGATCATTATATTTATATACATATAATCTTTGGTTTCTACTTTTGGAAAATAAAAAATCCTTTTGAAAAGATTTCAAATGTCAAAACCGTTGGAGTAGTTTGTTTCCCTTCCCAAAGTCAATTTGCAATGCTTCTCTATTTCAAAAATTAATCTGAATTGCTTTTCAAAAGTTATATTATTTTTAAACAAGTCTCAATTTTTTTTTCAATAATAAAAATTAGTTTGGGTTACTTTTTAACCCGCTTACCAAGCTGGTATTTTTAAAAAAATTATCCAAATATAAATTTTGTAACAGGAGCTAATTTTTATCAAATTTATTTTAATAACTAATTTTATTATTTTTTTTTTACAATCGAAAATTAAACACGCCAATGCTTCTGAGCATAGAAAGGGAGAGGGATGCATGTCAGCATCACTAAAATTTTAAATTGATGCCACTGCCGACCCGATCCAAAAGTCCGTTTCCATGTAGCATTGGCCAAGGACAAAAAAAAGCAAAGACAAAACTAAAACGGGGGGAGTGTGCCACGTGTAGGCCTGACGTAGCGTCTTTGAATCCGCTCCTGGAAAGCTTGTTCTCACCGGACCCGTCGATATTTAAGATTTTTTCTTCGAATAATATTAATTTAATAGTATGTTACTCTATTAATTAACGTTTCATACCCTGCGAAAACCCCTTTCGTGGGTGCGAAAATCGATGTCATCTCCCGCTGGAGGCACCGCCCGCTTGAACAACTGTAGATTAAACAAAGCAAAAAATCTAATCTAATAGCATAATTAATAGTACATAGTTGCCAAAAAAATAATAAAATATATAACTAACAAGAGTTGGTTCCAATCCGTAAAAATAGTTAATTTTTGTTGGATGTACTAAATCAATATTTAATTTCTAATAAAGAAATATCTATATTTAATACCTAATAATATTTTGAATAAGATTATTTTTAATAGTAGCAATGGCCATCAATATCCGTAAACATCTTCTAATTTTATCATGTTTTGGCTATATTTTGAAAATTTATATCTTTCTCATATTCTAACTATAAAGATAATGATAAAAAATTATGTCTGAACCCCTTTTTTTTTACAGCAATGTCTGAACTGATCATTATAATATTGTATAAATCCTTGTAACATAACATCACAAATTATACTATTAATTACAAATAAATATACATTATATATAATAGAGTAGACGTAGAATTTTACTTTTGAATTTATTTTTTAGGCATAACGACCACTCTCATTTTTTTGAATGATATAATTTTACTATATATAATAGAGCAGACTTAGAATTTCACTTTTGATTTTATTTCTTAGATATAACTACCACTCTCATTTTTTAATGATATAATTTTACTTACAAATTTTTTGTAATGTAATTTTACCCTTCACCTTGTTCTATAGGTGCATCAAAATTATTAAAAAAAAAAAATTGTGAGTGACGTTGCAGCAAAAACATTACAGGTAAAAGTACACTACAATAAATTCAAGGTACTAAATACATTTGAGGAAAAAAAAAGATAGAGGTAACATTGTACATTTATCCTGTACAATACATTTTTTGGAATTAAATTAATTTTTATTATAACTAAATTAAAAAATAAATCGTTCTTTATTTTAAGGATTATTGCTACTCATCATGCGAAAATTTTCCTATTCGCAATTAAAATCGTTGGTATGTTGAATTTTTAAAATAATTTTAACGTTTGAAATTTTATATAACCTTTGGCAAAAAAAATTCGTTATAAATTTTTTAACTCTCTGAGTGAAAATATCTCTTCCAAAATCTAATGTCAACCAAGACAAACTGAAACATATTCAACGCAATGTCATTTTAAAAAAAATAAAAATATAAAATATAAATAGGATTAAATAAATATAAGCAAAGTGTGGTGAGCACCTGCAGTTCTAGCCTTCCTCTCTTCCGCACTCCTTCCATCTTCTTCGCCCCTCTCTCGCTCTCTGTTTTTTCATTCTCCTTCTCTCTCTCTTTTCTTCTTTTTGTATAAATCACACATTTCTTCCTCTTCATCTTCCTTTCCTTCTCACCTCTAACCCTTAACCTACTTTTCTATTTTATATTTCCGGCTATGCTTCTGTGTTTTTGTGAATAGTATTATTGAGTTTCAGAGTCTTCGGCCTCTGGCAGGAGCTGTACAGTGAAGCTAATTAAAGGTATTTCCTCTTTCATTTCTTCAACGAAACTCTGAATCTAGACCTTTCTGCAATTGATTTACCAGCTGCGGTCTTAGATCTGCAGCCTCGTTCTTATTTTCCTCTTCGTTTTTTTTTTGGCTTTTTGGATTATATCTTTATCCGATGCGATTTCAATTTAAGAGGAGAAAAGTTGAGGTTCTCTGGATCTGCTCCGAGCAAAAATTATTCCGATTGATTTTCATGTCTGCTAATTTTTTTGTGTATTTTGTTGTTGAATTGTTTATCTGCAGCCCGCTTAATTGTTCTCTTTCTCTCAATTTTTCCCCACCAATTCGGCAAATTCAAGTATAATTTTCTTAACGCTGACAACTATCAGATCTTGCCCTGCGAGATCAGTTGCTCCCTGAAATGTCTGTATGTAAGGGATAGGACTCTCTTGTGCAGAGAAGAAATTTCTTCTCGTGCTTTTGAGAAAGCTCAATCTGTTTAGCTCCGTGTTTAATAATTTATAAGCTATTTTTCATATTTATCTATATTTGTCTGTTTGACTTTATCTTATTTTGAGCTGTTCAAATCTTTATGCGCGTTTAGTATTTCTGATAAAATAATTAATCTAAAGCTCTGATAATTTCAAACCTGTATAATTTTACTCGTTTGTTTTTAAATTTTAAAATTATGTCCTAATTTTTTTTTTCTTTCTACCGTTTGGTTGTGAGTAGGTCTCGTTGATTGCCGAAATCAGGGAAGAATATGAACCATTGCGTGATCCAGCAGCAAAAAGTCGTCGCATCCCGTGAAGAAATGAGCAGCAGACACCCTGTGGTTTGTCCCAAACCGCGCCGCCTCGGCCTCCTAAACGTCGCGGTGAACGACCACCCTGCTAGGCTGTTCCGGTGGCATCTCAGGTAAAGTTTTCTCCGTATACACCCTTCTTACGCTGGTTCCTTCTCTCATGTATTCGAGATTCATAATTTTGAACGAATAATCTCGAATGAAATCATTTTGATTGAGCTTTGTCGGGCTTGTCTTCTTCTGCAGTTGCCAGGCAGATATAGCTGATTCAAAATCTGTGAGTGATCCTTTGGACCTCATCCTAACCAAGGTAGTCTCTTTTTCCATTGATTTCCTCCGTCATGATCTTTGATTAAATCCAAAAGGATCTTACAATTTCGATTTATTCAATTTGGTTAATTGTTAACTTGAATTTTTTTTTCAATTAATTATATTTGTGAATTTGTGATTGCAGGGTGGTGGTATGGAACAATCGTGTACACAGGTAGCTTCGTCGCCCCCCTTTTTTTGCGGGTCACCACCAAGCAGAGTAGCTAACCCATTAATTCAAGATGCTCGATTTGGGGATGAGAAGATTTCCCCGCTCTCACCATCATCCAGGGTTCCTACCCCATCTGGGCTCTCATCGCCTCCCTCATCTTCCACAAGGAAAGGAGGCCGTGTTCGCTCCAACTTCGGAAACAATCCTGCTGTGAGAATCGAGGGATTCGATTGCCTTGACAGGGACAGGCGCAATTGCAGCATCCCTGCTCTGGCCTAGAATAGAATCCACATCTTGAGAGAGAGATCAAATTAGAACAAGAAGAAAAGCTTTTAGTAGTAGTCACCGCCAGTAACGACACAGAATCTTTGTTAACCGGGAGAAGAATTTTGGAAGAGCAGAAGAGCGAAAGGAAAATATCTTTTGCCTATTGTAAATATATGTTCAGAAAGAAGTGTTTGTAAATGTCATGATGTTGTGTCCTGTAGGTATTATCCTTTGTAAGGCCAGATAGTCTGGTCAAGGAAGAAGTTCGAGAGGGGATTAGCCCTCTCTGAGTCTAGTGAGATCTTAGTAATGGGTATCATCCTCTTCATTGTAATTACGCGTCTTTGAGGGTGAAAACTAATAAATTTTTCATTTTGATATCTTTTCTTCGTGTCATTTGAAATGTAGGTAGCGGCTCAGGAAATCTGTACAAAGGTGGTTTGTTTGGGTCGCCCAAGTTACTTGGTCTGTCTTTTGCAATGTGAACATTAAAAAGTTATGTAAAGAAGAGGTATTATTCTGTTGGCTTTGTCGCTGTGTTTAATGTTTGTCCCCTTCCTCCTCATTCCTCTGCTGCTTTTGGTTCAGGAGCCGCAGGACTTCGCTTCTGTTTTACGCAAACTCGTCTGTGTGACTGAAAAACTTTATGTCATGCTGTTGGGAATGCGAGGATTCTTTTTCTTTACGGTTTCCCCTTTGTTTCTGAACGTTGGTACGTTTACTCGCTTTGACGGTTGTCTTGTGTTCCCGAGTTTCTTGACTTGTTTGCTCTTCTACAGCCGATTTTGGCTCCCAAAGCTGACCTCTTCTGCTCGGATATCGGTTTTATCCTTACCCTTTGTAAGAAATAAATGGCCCTTTTCTTTTGCCAACCATGGCTCTATTTATGTATTATAAAAAGAATAAGAAAAAACATTTTAGAGGTATTTATATTTTTTTTTAAATTTTTAATCTGCTATCCATACGTTTTTTTCTAAATTAAATCTTTAATCTTGTCCTATTAATATTGTTAACCCTTACATAGAGACTAAAAATGCTAATAAAACAAAATCATAAGAGCTATTGTTTAAAAAAGTAAAATTAAATGATTTAATTAAGAGAAAAAATATACAGATACTAAATTAAAAATTAAGAGAAGGTATAAGTCTTTCCAATATGGTTTTCTCTAAGAAAAAGGGTGTTTCAGTATTGAGACGTTTAAAATGTCTTTTTAATTAAAAATTATATATATATTTAATGAAAAATCCCACCTCATCTGCCTAGTAACATGCCACCTCAGATCTTTTAGATCCAATTCTTACTTACCCAGCAACTTAACAGACTTTAGGACATTATGAGCACATGAAAAAGTATTTCAGAGTGCTCTGAAAAAATTAATGAAGAAACATTAATTACTTCATAGGTGACTTATTTTCTCTCAATTTAACGGTCTTTATTATAAGATTTTGTTTATTGTCTACAAATAAGTTTATATAATTAGGAACGGACGTAGCAGTAAAGATTGAAAAAATAGAGGAAAGTAGGGAGTAAGAGAGGTGAAGAGGTAATGTTCCGTGTTAGTCAAGGCCGCACCTCGGAGAACAACCGTTTAAACTTAAGGAAGTGCATTTACTTGAAAGATTTCAACCTCCAAGTTTGATAAGCTAATGGTAGATAAAATGACAGGGGATATCTGGATTCACCAAAAAAAAAAAAAAAGAAGGAATAAAATGATTAAAATTTTACAAATAGAAATGACATGGTTCTTTGTCTACCATTAGCTTGTTCTGCTGTTTCTCCAACATCTCTTTCATGCTGAAGATACACGCTTTCTTTATTCATTATTAAGCTCTTTGCCCCCAAGCCTCACAAGCCCACCCTGTTCTCTGGTTCCTAGATTTAGAGATTGATGATCCGTGAATTTAGTTTCCTATATTTTAAATCTTTTAGGATTAAAATATAAATTAATAAATTAAATAACCAAATTAAAATATAGTATAAAAATAAAAGGAAAAATAGCATTTTAATTCAAACTATTTATGATTTATTAGTTGCGCAATTCATAATAAATTTTATATTAGATGTTCATATATCCTGTGCCATAATTATGATTTTTGAGTCCCAAGCCCAGCCCAAATTAAAAAAGCTTTAAAATTAAAAGTATACTTAATGTTAATTCATGAACATTCCAGAACAAGGGAAGAAGCCTTGGCCACCAAATCGAAGACCATATTGTCAAGTAGCTTGGAGATTAAGCTGGAGATCAGTCAAAATCACTGACTCTCCAAAATGTGAAAGTGGAGAAAGTGGCACCAGCGAAGCCGAAACGGTAGTTTCTTAAAAATAATGGAAGTAGAAATCAGGTAACCTCGAGGAATATACTTGAGCGTCAAATCTATATAACTTGGACTTTAACTTGTTAAGATCATGTCTGGGGCTGTTCATCTTGAGCCATCTCGATTCCAATTAAATTAGGACGAGATGGTTCTGAACGGGACAAAAACAGAATGAGAGAGAAAAAAAATTGAGACGGGACAAAACGCGAGACGATTTCGTCTCATCTCGAATACATGTATGTAATTCTTTTATTTTTTTTAATTGCGTAATATTAAAATATTTAAAATGTATAATATCCCAAACCCTTATTTTTCTTTTTTGAATGCTGCACTCGCTCCCTCTCGCTCTATTCATCTTCAACGCTCGTTTTCTGCCCCTCACTAGATCGCTGCACTTTAGAAGCAAAATAGAAATTGTTGGATCAGTGATGTATTTGAGGGAGGGAGTACGACTGCGATGCAATCTTAGGTTCCATTTGATACGAAACATTAAAAATAAGAGATAAGGATTGTGATTGGAGTTGAAAACATATATTAAAAGGATGCTTAGCACGAATGATTTCTTATCACATGGGACTACTTCCTCTCATGGTATTCTTCAATCCCATATATATGGGTTTATCTAATCCTAAGTATCATACAATTACTCATACTAAATACGTTTTTAATATAGTTTTTCACTCTCAATCCTAATCCTTATCCCTTATTTTCAATGCTTCGTATCAAATGAGACCTTATTGTTCTTGGTTTAATGGGTTCATATAAATGTCTTGTTCTGCGTTTAAATTTCGGTTCCAAACTAGATATAATGGATTATAGGTTTTTCACCCCTTGTTGTGCGATTGAAAAATGGGGCCTGATGAGTGTATTCTTTTTTTTCGCCAGCCTGATGAGTGTATTGAATGATGGAATTTTTTTTTTTTTTGGACTCAAATGAATGATGGAATTTTAACTCTAGTAGATCACCTCATTGAAGAACGTTACGTTTGCTGCGTAACCCTTAATTTGATGTTGCTTCTTTTTCCTCTTTGTGTTTATTTATGCTTTCTGAGATTCCAGGGATTGGAAAACATCAAAATGCTACCATTAGATACATGTCAGGTATGGCTGAAATATCCTTCAACATCAGTATGATGAAAATTAACCCTCCAACCCTCTCCCTCTTAGTCAATATGCAAATGCTTTTCTTCTTAATCCCATTTCTTCATTTATGGGACGACCTGTTCTGTTTTTGTTTTGTTCCGGTCCCATTCGGAAGGGACACTTTCAGCACAGAACATGGGACGGAAATTCTGTCCTTTATGTGCTTTCAGGATAGGAATGTCCTGATCTTGTCCCTTGAATACTTCTAATTGTTTTTTTCATCTTGTTGAATTTTATATGTGACTTTTTTTTCTCACGAATCGTAGCTATTCTTTTATTAGAAGCAATTTTTTTACACTATAATTGGATGCTAAATATGAATATTTTTTTTTGAATGAGATTCCAACCATCAAATTCTGCATCAGTATGTACTATTGTCAATACTCTAATGTCCCAATGAGCATGCATCAACATTGGCATGTGACAATGGAGAGAAGACAACGATGAAGAAAACGCAAAGAGAGCTGAGAAGGGGGGAATGGCCAAGGCCAAATAGCCCCATATTCCCAAACTTTTTTTTTATATTTCAACTGAAATTTAAATAATATTAGAATTTTTTCTTTTTTAAAAAAATTACTTTCGTTTTTTCCTCAATTGATGTGGAGCTTACAAGGATTTGAAATTTGATGTGGACCTTACACGGAATGAGAGATAGGAAGGAAAAAGACAAATTTTATTCACTTTGGAAAAATAAGGGACGACTAAGTCACAACCTGATTAAAAGTTAAATGACTAAAAAAATTATTTTTCCCCACCATACATATGTCCTCTCAATATCCCATTATCTCCTTTTTTCCCCCCTTAGAATCGCATCTCCGTAGTCGGATCTAAACATAAATAATTTAGATTTAATATTTTAAAAAACTAATTATTATTAAAATATTTTATAAATTATTCTATTTTTTATATTGGAGAGAAGATGAAAAAAATAATTACTAAAAGATTTTAATGACAAGTGAGAAGTTATCATTTCCTATATTAGATTGTCATCATTACATGTTATTGTATTGTGATTAAAATTTTTTAATAATTATATTTCTTCATTGGAGTTTATAGCAAATAAATTTCCCTAAAGTCAAAATCAGGCCTATATCTATCTTCAATTTTTCTTACATAGGGGTATTTCGGTCTTTTCAAAAAAACTTTGAAAACTCTAACTAGACTTCTTAGTCTAATTAAATATTTGTTAAATGTGCGCTTGAATTTAAATTTTAATTTTGGCCAAAAAAAATTTAAATTGTAATATTTGGGTGGAATTTAATTGGAATTTTTCCACTTTATATTGCTATTATTTTTGAAATATTTAACTATAGAGATACAGATAAAAAAATATCATATTATAATCATTCCAAGTTTTTATTTAAAAAATTAAAAGAAAATCTGAATAAAACGAAGATGAAAAAAATGAGTGAATTTGATTGACATTCAAATTCCCAGAAAGGTCACAAACGTGTTATTTTTTTAGATTAAGCTAAGATAACAATTATTCTAAGATAACTAGTTATTATATATCTCTATTATTCATATACTTTGCTCAGTTTCTATAAATCCTCAGATAGAATTATGACATTCAATTCGTATTTTCCTCTTAAAAGAGCACAGTCTCATGCATCTTTCCAAGTTTCACCTGTATATGATGG